CCTTCGTTCCCCCAACGCACCCACCAGGGCCTGTTGAGGGAAGAGCTCCTGAGTGACACTGACCCGGGGACAGGAGAGCCTTCGTTCCCCCACCGCACCCACCAGGGCTGTCGAGGGAAGAGCAGAGGAGTGTGGCTGAACAGAGTGGGACGGACAGAGAGCGGGCGGACGGGTGTGTGGGCGGGGCCTTCAGCAGTCAGGGAGAGTCAGATGCTGATGGGCGGGTCCAGTAGCGGAGAGAGCACAGGGGTCCTGGGGTGGAGGGGCAGGATGGGAATCAGGGATGGGTGGTGGTTGAGAGCCTGGAGGTGGGCAGGTGTGGCTGCAGCCGCTCCTGGGGGGCAAAGGCGCCCCAGGAAGGGCTCAGCCATGTGAAGTCCCCCTTGGTTCTCAGGAGCCCCAGTGGTCCTAAGGCTGAGCCCCTTGAGCTCCTGAGGCCCTGAGACCCTCCTCCCCTTTGCAGCACAGCGACTGCATCCCAGAAGCCCCTGGTATCCTGGAGCCTGCAGCACCCCCCATACCCCCACCTCTGCTCTTTCTCTGTTCCATCATTTTTCAAAAATAATTGTGTGGCATCAGGCTGCCCCTGACCTGGGGTTGTTGGCTCTCGTCCCCAGGCCCACCCAGGCTGGCCTCACGTGATGTGTGTGTCAAGGTGTTTCCCCTGCAAGGCCTTCATCGTTCCCTGATTGCTCACATTAATTTTTCTCCCTCCTCGGTGATCCTCCCCTGTGCTGTGCTGGTTGGGAGGGGGCTGACTCCCCCGATCCTGCCCGGCTGCTGCTCCTCTGCCCTCCCCTAGATGAATGTTCCTTTATTGTCCATAAATCTCTGCACAGCCCTTTGTGAAGACAGATCGGAGGCCTCCTGCTCCCCAGTGTTTGTCGGCGGTGGGTTTAATTAGCACTCCCCCCAGAGGAACGGAAGGGGCTCTCTGCCGCCCCCAGGCTTCTTCTAGGGGACAGAGGCTGGGGCTCCATCTGTGTGGATTCAACACGCCAGACCACATAACTGGCCTCCCCACGTTCCATCCCAGGCAGCCCCATCTCCCTAGTGGCCCAGGGGGTGGAAGCCCAAAGCCCAGCAGCACCCCTACCAGCCCCCAGCACACAGTAGGTGCCTAATAAACACACAATGAGTTGGTAGATGCCAGGATGAAAGGCCCCACCTTTCATCCGACAGTGGCTGCTGGCTGTGAATCTGTCTGCTTCCCGTTGCCCGGCCGGGGTGTGCAATAGGCTGCAGGAAGGAAGGGAAACTCTTGGGGTGCTCCCAGCCGTCAGCTACAGCAGCCCCGCAGGGGCGAGGTGCACTCAGAGGGCCCAGCCTGGCCCCACAGCGTGCCGCCCGGCCTGGGAATCCAACTGCGTGCTCTGTGCCGAGGTCTGAGGGCCAAGAAGACAGGCCTGTGGGGGGTAGGCTGGGGGGGTTGGCTGGAGGGACGACCTCAGGATGGTGTGGCAGGAACATCCCATCCGCTTCTCCACCGGGGGCCGCAGCCGTCTCAGAGGCTTGGGAGTCCCTCTGGTGCTGGTCCAAGCTGAGAGCCTTTCTCACAGCGGCTCCATGAGCCACGGGGACCCCTGCCATGAGGGTTTGCTCATTCCTCATGACAGGAAGGAACACCGAGGACCAGTGAGGTGTGGTGATCTGCCCCGACCCAGGACCCAATAGTGGGCCTCCCCAAGCCCTGGCCGTGTAGGTCTGGGCACTGTGGATCCATTCCGTGACTGCCTGGCTGGGTGGGAATCAGCCTGGGGGGATCACAGAGGGCTTCCTGGAGGAGGGGTTTGTGTCGGAGTTGAGTGTTGAAATAAATAGAGGGTGCTGGGTGGAGGATCCTGCGGCACTTTGTGGCTGGGAGCTGGGGTGGGCAGTAGTGGCGGGGGGGGATGGGGCAGGGCCCCTGTATTCCCGCAGGATTCCAGCCTGGCCACGTGGGGTGGGCTGCATCCAGAATGCTGCTGTCCCCCCAGGGCTGCCCAGGCTTCACGTGCAGAGCCCGGCCAAGCCCCTGGGCTGTTACGTGCACTGGCCGGGCCAGCTGTCCAGGGCTCTAGGGCAGCTTCAGCCCAGCGCAGGGTGGGAAAAGAGGGGGGCAAGGCAGGACCAAAGGCAAGGCTGCCAGAGGGGCTGGTCACAGTGCGACACATCATGCCAGTGGGGTCAAGGTGCATCCACGTGCCATGTCAAGTGATGCTCTGGGCAGAGGGACACCCCCAGGCTGACTGGCACAAGGAGGAGAGATTTATGCCAGGCCTGTGCAGGCCCAGCACTGGGGTGAGGACACTGAGGCTCAGGAGGGAGCCACATGGCGCTCTGGGGCAGAGCCACGCTGGCCGTGGGCGGCTCTGAGCAAGCACGGCCTCAGGCAGGTCTAATGCTCCAAACATGTCATTTCACACCTCTGGGCCTCAGTGTACTTGTGTGCACGCAGGGGACGTCAGCAGCCTCTTCCTGCGAGGGCGTCGTGGGGGGTGAGGGTGGGCTGGGTCACCCTGGCTGTGAGGAAGGGCCTCTGCCCTGCAGCCCCTGGGCCCCAGCTCATGCAACAAATAAATACTTCCTTTCCATAGACACGCTCCCGACACGTTCTCGTCTCACTGGACGTCGGGCTTCTATTATTTCAGCACTAATTTAAGGATTAAAAAATAATTCTACCAATTACTGTGCAAAGCCCTGGGCACCAGATAGACAGGGGCAGGTTTTCCTGTCCGAGGACTTGGGCCAACCCTGCAGGTAGATGGCAGGACAGGGTGGCCCCAGGGGCCCCTTTGTCCCCGGTGGGCATGCAGTCATGCCCCGCTGCCCTCCCAGGGCCCCAGGGTCAGGGCTGGCAGAGAAGTGACCTGGGAGGAACCCAGCCTGAGCCCAGCACGCTGCTCACCTCCCATTCACCCCTGCAAGCACAGGCCCCAGGTGTCACCCTCCACTGATTCCTCTCGGTAGCACCAGCCTGGCTGGGCTTGTGACACAGATGGACCTGTGAGCTGGGAAGGATCCTGTGCACAGGCTGCCCTGTGGCTGGCCTGGCATCGTTGCATGAGGGCCAGGAGCATCCTGGTAAACCAGCGGCTGGCCTGGGGAGGTGGACACTCCCAATGTGCTTCTTGTGGTCTGAATTAGCTTCCTTCCCAGCCAGGTCCAAGGGTCTGGGAGACTGAGGCTGGACATCAGTCACCTCCTGTCTGGGTCCAGTGGGCCTGACCCCAGGGGACCAGCACGTCTGGTGAAAGGTAGGGGTCAGGGTTGGGTGGGGCAGGCAGGAGCTGAGCCTGCCGCCCCCGGCCCAGTGCCAGCTGGTGATGTCATCGCTTCCTGGGCTGTAAATATCACCCAAACTCACAACTCCCAAATTGTCCTCCAGCCCGGGCCCCTCTCCTGAGCTCAGCCTGCACAGCCCACGCGACACCCCCACCCAGATGTCTCCTGGGCCTTGACAACGGGGGCTGGTCCTCTGGGGGCCCCCACCTCGGGGACGGGCTGCTCAGCACAGACGCTGGGAGCCCTGCCCACCTCTGCCTTCTGCTGGGTCCAACTCAAACACAGCCGCAGCCCTCCTGGTCCCCCACCCGACCCTCCTTGGGCCTGGCCAGACCTGTGTGCCCACTCACAAGTCTTCACTGTGTTCGCAGAGGCCAGATGGGTCTATTCAGGAAATCAGAACCCATCTCTGCACCTCAGAACAAAGTCCCCAAGATCTGCACCCCACCCCACCCCCAGGTCCACCTGCTTCGCCCTCAGAAGGCCTGTATGGCCCCTTGTCCCCATTCCCCACTGTGGCCTGGGTTTCTCTCTCCTGGGGGAGGGGAGGACGCAGGGCCCCAAAGGACGGGCTGGGGATCTGGCAGTGCCAGGAAGAGCATGTGGCCATGGAGCCATGGCATCTGGGGGTTAGCCAAGTCCCAGCTCAGCATGGGGCCCTGCAGCCTCCTGAGTTGCTGGGGGCTCCCAGGCCCCACCTGAGGGCCAGCTGGTGGTGACAGGCACAGTCAGCCTGAAAAGTGCCCTGAGGGCAGATGGGTGTCTCTCAGTAAGAAGCAGGCTCAATAGAGGTAGTGAGCACCCTATCCCAGGAGGTGTGCAAGCTGAGAAGCTCAGGTGTGCCTCAAAGATCTTTGCAAATGCATGTCTGCAGTTTCCTGGCTGCCAGGAAGGTGGTGGGAGCCCAGGGGCCACCATGCTGAGCAAGAACCCTGCACCCTCTCCAGATTTAGCAGCTTGGCTGCGTCTTCTTGGGCATGGCAGGGGCTGCTCAGGATAAAACTGGATAAAGAAACTCCTGCCTACGCTCCCTCTGCCCACCAACGCCCAGGCGCAGGCTGGCAGACTCCCGGCCTGGCTGTGCAGTCACAGGGATGGTGTCCGGGGGTGCTGATGGTTGCCAAGGCTGCCCTATACCTCCACACCAGACTGCACGGAGCTGTGTGTGTGGAGGCTGTCCAAGATGGTGATGGGGTCTCCTGGGCTCAAAGGGGCCTGCCCATGCTGCCCACTTGGAGCCTGGGGGCAGTGCGGCCTGGTCTTGAAACTCAGATGTACCCGTGTCCACAGTGCAGAGGGGCAAACTGCCAGGGCTCACACAGCGGGTACCAGGGGCCCCAGGCCCAAGGGTCCCTTAGAAGAAGAAATGGGGCACGTGGGAGGACCCGGCTGAGGAGGGGAAGGGGCCGGACAGGAGAGGCAGGGACCCTCCCCCAGCAGTGCCCTGACTCTGCCCTGGGCTGGGGCAGGGAGGGTCTGAGCTCCCACCACGGGCACAGAGGGGCCAGGTGGGGGAGCGGGCCCTGGTTGCCGAGCACACTCCCTCCCCTCCCCCCTCCCCTGGGCTTCTGGAGCCCTGGCCGCCCCCACGGCCATCTGGTTCCACCAGCAACGTTCCCCCACTCCCTCTCCCAACTCACGGTGTGTTCCTCCCTCTTCCTGCTCCCCCAGGCCCCTGCCCCGAGGGGGATGGTGGGATGGCCACGTGGCTTCTTTTGTTACTGAGTCCTCATGCCCAGTAAGGACTGTGAAAATGTGCATGTGCATATTTTTGCCTGTGCTGCGTGTAAGCACGCATGCACATGCATTATGTGTGAATACAAGTGGTCCCTGCCCTGCCTGTGCGTGCACGTGTGTGCGGTATGGTGTAGGTATGCGGCACCCTGGGCAAACGCCAGAGCAGGCATGGCCACAGCACTGGCATGAGACCACAGGCAGTGGTATGAAGGTGGCACATGGCCCCTGCCAGGCCTTGGAAGGTGGGGTCAGCCTCACCACCCAGCACTCCATCAGGACCACCCTAGCCCACCTGCACAGCGTCCTCCTGGACCTCAGGCTCCTCCTGGGACCACCTCAACCCACATGGGAGAGGGGGGCAGCCGAAGCTGGGCTGGAAGGCTGGGACCTCTAGGGACTCTGTGTGACCGCAGAGCAGATGTCCCCACAGAGGCAGCCTTGTCTGGCTGGGCATGGTCTGTGCTGGACACATACCTCTCTCAGACACCGCTGTCAGCCCAGCCGGGAGGGAGGGAGCCAAGGCACACTGAGGTCAGTCTTCATGGCCACCACAAGTGCTGGGCTGAAAAGGGTCGAGCTGCCTGCAGCTCAGGCCATACCACCAGGCAGCTGCCTTCCCTTCCTGGGACTCTGTGCCATGACGGGGGCAGGGCTGCACCTCCAGGCCCACCTGCCTCTCACGGCTCACAGCAACCCCTAGCCTGAGAGGCCACAGCTTAGGAAAAGAGCTCTTTATTCCACATCGTCCAATATTTTTACACAAGTAAAATAAAACGCATATCTCTATATATCGCGATCTGGGCGGGAGGTGGCGTTCTGGAACAAACGCCCCGACCACGCCCTGTAAACATGACGGGGTGGAGATGGGACGGGCGGGTGGGCAGGCGGGAGGCGCCGTCTGGGAGGGCCTGCCACCCGGGGCTGGCTGGCAGTGGGAAGGAACCCCGTATGTACACACACCTGGCTGCTGAGAGAGGCTTTGCGCTCAGTGGCTGGTCAACAGGGCCCGAGCACTGTCCACAGCACCAGCGCAAGGCCCAGGGGGACGAGGCCCAGGGGGGCGAGGCTGCAGGCGAGGCCAGGCAGGGCACCTGAGCCCTCCACCCCGCCAGCCCCGCCAGCCCCGGCACCCCCGCCACCCGCCTGGCCCAGACGGCACTGGCTGCGTGTGCGGTTCTTGCGGGAACAACCTGGCCGCCGGCGAGGGCCCGTGGTGGGGGGCTCCGGTGGCTGGGAGCCCTCAGGCTGCACCGCGGTCAGCGGGGGTTCGGCCGAGCCAGGCAGGGTCCCGAATGGGGAGTCGTTGATGTGTCGTGGGCCAGAGCCGTTGCCTGGCGGGCTGTCACCAGACGGCACACGTCCCTTTAGTGCGTTGCCAGCCGAGGCCGGACTCCCGGCCTCCAGCACCGAGGCCTTGTCCTCAGCGTCCGGCTGGCAGCACTTGGGCAGCCCCAGCAGCTCCTCATCGGCAGGCCCGCCGGTCCAGAAGGGACGGGACGGTCTGGCGGCCACAGCGCAGCCCTCCAGGTCGGCGGTGGCCAAGCGCTTGAGGTCGCGGCCAGCCAGGCGTGGGGGCAGGCTGCAGGGCAGCTCGGATGAGGAGCCGCGGAATTGCTGCAGCCAGGCCCAGAGCGGGCGCGCCCGGCAGTCGCACACCCAGGGGTTGTCATTGAGCCGCAGGTACTGCAGGGCCCGCAGTGGTGCCAGGGCCTCCGCGGGCAGTGCAGAGAGGTTGTTGGCAAACAGGTAGAGTGTCATGAGACGGCCGAGGTCCCGGAAGGCGTGCGGGTGCACGCGGGCCACACGGTTCTGGTGCAGCAGAAGGCGGTCGAGGCTGTGCAGGCCGCGGAAGGCGCGCTCGGGCACGCTGGGAATGCGGTTGCCGTGCAGGAAGAGGTGCGTGAGGTTGCCCAGGTCGCGGAAGGCGTCGTCGGGCAGCGCCTGTAGCCCGTTGTCCTGCAGGTAGAGGTACTGCAGGGCAGCCAGGCCGCGGAACAGGCCGGGACCCAGCTCCTGCAGGCCGCAGCGGTCCAGGTGCAGTGTGTGCAGGCGGCTCAGGCCCTGGAACGTGGCAGGGTCCACGGCATGCAGCTGCGCGTTGTCGCTGAGGTCCAGCTGCTCCAGGAGCACCAGGCCAGCGAAGGCGGCAGCGTCGATGTGGGCCAGCGCGTTCGAGTGCAGCCACAGGATGGTGAGGTTGCGGCAGGCATGGAAGCTGGCGGCTGGCACGTATGTGATGCGGTTGCCGTGCAGGAAGACGCGCTGGCTGGCAGCCGGGATGTCGGCAGGCACGGCCTGGAGACCCTGCTGCGGGCAGCTTGTGGTTACCTTGGGCTCGTTGTAGCACACACAGGCACCCGGGCACGGCGCCGCCACACTCCACGCCTGCAGCCACAGCACCCAGGCCAGCAGCTGGCTCCCTGTGGGCAGAGCAGAGGGCAGTTCGTGGGCAGGGGCTCCTGCAAGGCTGGGGTTGTGCAGGAGGGGCTGGGGCTGGGCCCAGGATATGCTGCCGCCCCTGGGAACTCAGATGCTGTGATCCCTGCCCCACCCGCCAGGTGGAAGCTGCTGCACAACAGCTCTCCAAGGGATCGAAAGCTCCACACCAGGAAGCGTCACCTGCAGACGCCCACGTCACCCTGCCTGGCACTCAAACACACGAGCTAACACGCCCGCACCCGCCGCCACTCGGGGTTAGCAGGTCACCCCCAAGGCCCAAGTGAAGGCCTCCTGGGATGGACATGCACACCTGCAGATACCTTCTCGGACTCCAGTGAACACAGAGCCCCCGTGGGCCTGCCCGCTGTCCCTGTCCGTCCCAGCACTGACCCAGCCTGTCCCTGTCCCATCAGCCCACAGGCCAGGCAGAGAGAGAGGCCCCGGCAAACACTGGAGCACCAGGCCAGCTCCGCTCATGCAGAGGAGCTCTGGGCCAAGGATCATGGCCGGGCCTGCCTCCTGGCAGCTTCCGCAGCAGCCCTCCCAGAGGGTCCTCTCGGGCTGCAGGAAGGGTGGGGCTGTGACTCAGACCTGGTGCCCTGCCCAGGCCCCCAGAGCTCCTGGGGCCAAGGCCTGCCTGGATTCTGAGGGAGCCTCCCCACCTCGGGGAGCTGTCCTTTAACCAAGAAATTGCAGGGGCCTTGGTGAAGCTGGGAGCCACAGCCCCAGTGGCCCTCCTGCAGGAGTCTTGGTCCCACCAACAGGACACAGAAAACTGCCACAGCAGCCCCAGGCTCCAGAGCAACTCTGCCATCACAGATCAGGAGCCTAGGCCCTGAGGGCAGGCGTAGCAGGGCAGGCAGGTCCAGGGCTTGGGGGCACTGCAGTCCTGCCCCGTGAGCCCCTCAGGCAGGCTGCTCCCTCCTGCACATGCCCTCCTCACTGCCGCTTACTGCTTCCTGGCCTGGCTCAGAACACCTCCTGCAGCCTCCTCCCCTCGGCCTCATTCTCTGCTTGGTCTCCTCCCTGGGCGAGGAGCTTACTCCTTCCCGGCCAATCTCTGCACAGTCCAGCTGCCCCCAACCCTCCTGCCAAGACACGCTCCCAGCAGGTTCCGCCCCAGCCCAGGGGGCTGCAGCTCCCCTCTTCCCTCCCCCATCTCAGGGCCTCACCAAAGACCTAGACCAGGTAGGAGACCCCTCCTGGGGTGCTGTATCCAGGCTGGGCTCACCAGCAGGGCCACATGCCCAATAATAATCTCCCTGCCTATCATCCCACCATTAGAGCCACCGCTTTGAATGCTGAAGTTCTTTCCGCCTTCAGGAGTAAGTCTAGTAAAATGTGAATCCCCCTGGGAGGGTTATGGCTTATCAGCTAACACTTGAGTTATCAGCTAACACCTTCGTTGACAGCTAACACCTGCGTTGACAGCTAACACCTTCCTTGGCAGTCAGCTGAGAGCAGGATTCTGCAGACATAAGGCCGGCTAAGTGCTGGGGCTGGAGCCAGGAGGGAGAAAGGAGGGGCCCACAGGCCAGCTTCCCCAACCCAGAACCATGACCTTGGGCCCCGAACCCCCACTAGGTCCTCTCTGCCAGGGCCAGTGCAGACGCTTGCCCCAAGCCCAGAGGCCCAGCAAGCCGGGCATGTCCAGCGGTCACAAGGAATACGCCCTCCCAGACTCTGGTCCTCAGGTACTGGGAGCACCGTCCCCACAGCCTAGGCGCCTCCTCTGTCCCCTGTGCTCTGGTGGCCACCGAGGCTGGGCCATTTGTTGGCTACTGGGGACATGGCAGCCCCAGGACCACCCCCTGCCCAAGCCCTGGGTGCCCCTCCCTGGGCTGGCTGCCCACAGGAGGCCATGAGGGGGCATCTCAGCTGTTCTATTTAAACTGCTGGCATCCTCTACTGGCTCTCTCCTTATGGGCCTCCTTTGGAAAGTTGGGCCTGATTAAGCCAGCTCCCAAGGCATCTCACTGTTGCCACGGGATGTGACTGTGCTATGAAAACAGTACTTCCTGCTCCCGAGACCTTGTGGCAGAGGACAATCTGGGGCAGGGTGAGGTGGGGCTCCAGTTACTCATCAGGCCAGACTCTGGACCTCACCACCACGGGCTGGGCCACACCACCAACTTGGCTGCCAGCGGCCGTCCATCATGACCATACCCACCACATCACCGACTGCACTGTTACCACTGCACCCTGACCATTGGCTCCCAGGCCTGCAGCCATGGTCTGTGAGCTTGGCTGGGTTGGGGTCAGTTGACCACTGGAACTGGCCGGCTCCTCCAGCTTCCAGCTGTCGCTAAGCAGGGCCCCCAGAAGGCTATAAGCCATGGGCTTGGGGCCGTGCCCACTCTATGTATGCCCTGAGATAGGTACCAGTGTTGAGCCACGCATGGGGGAAAGTGGCAGAGCAGCCATGTGGCTCGGCCCTGCCAGGAAGTGGGCAACAGGCACGAAGACATGGCTCCCCTCTCACCGAGGCAACTGCTTTTTGGAAACCAACTTCTGATGGTCGGTCCCTCAGCACAGGCCCTGCTGTCAGCATAGCGGCCGGCGGTGGGCTTACTCCTCGCCTCAGCCACAGTAATTGGCTCCAGCCTGGCCCCCTTGGGGCCTGCCTGCTGGTCTCCATGGCAACCCCTCTGCTGAGCAAGCAGAGGGGGTATCTTTCTATGAGATAATCAAACCCAACTTTGTGTCATGTTTTCATTCTCACAGCAGACGCCTGGAGACCTCACCAGGTAGTGGGAGGGTGTACCCTGGCCCCACCCCCTGGACCCTATTGCTCACCTAATCCCTCCCAACCCTAAAAGTCCTCCCCATCCGTCCCCCCGCCCCGTCCCCAGCCTGTCCTCCCAGCCCATCCTCTCATCCCACCTCCCCCACCCCCCAACCCATCCTCCTTGGCTTTGCAGTCCGGAGCCTGAGGCCTCTCTGGCCTGCAGATCTGCACTCGCTGGTCCTGCCCACTCATCAGAGGCCCCCAGGTTGCACCCTGCCTCACCTGTCTCTCCTTTCTCTCCCCCCAACCCTCTCACTGGCCCCAGACAGCGGCCCATTCCCCTGGCCCCACCTCCCAGTCACTCCCAGCCTCACCGGGTCCAGTGGGAGCTTGCCTCCTACACACAGGGTGAGAAAACAGCCCTGCCCCGCCCGGCTCTCATACACAGAAATCATCTCAAGGCACACCACGCCACACCAGGGTCCTGATCCCACACCAAGCCACCGGGCCCCTCAGCTAGCTTCCTGCAAACCCAAGCCGGCCCCTCCCCCACCATCCCTCCTCTTTCCTCGGGCCTCAGCACAGAATGGACGGGTCAGGGGTTTTCTCTAGTGCCCTCCCCATGGAGGGGACCCCTGGGTCACGGCTAGGAGCCCCCACCTTAGCCCAGGTCTGCTCTGGAGCTGGGGCAGGGGCACTAGGGCTATGGTTGGTGGAGGACCAGCCACTCCAGCCTTGGGGGTGGGGGCACAGCTACCAGACTCTGCTCAGGGTCTCTCCTCTGGGCCAGTTGACAAGGCCCAGGAGGCTGGGGGGCATCAGGCCTGCGTGTGGCCTCGAAGGCCATCTGCATTGCTCACCCTGATCCAGCTCCTGGCCACTGCAGGGGGTGGGGAGGAAGGTAGAGGGAGCAGGAGAGGGGAGCAGAAGGGAGGGGAGCCAGGAGGGGCGGAGGCTTCTGGGGAGTCACCAGCAGCCACAGGAGCCAGTGGGCAGCGGGCAGGCGGCTGCTGAGGTCAGCAGCTCAGAAACAGGGCGTGCTGGAGGCTGCAGGCACGGGGAGGTCTTCAGTGTGTTCCCTGGCCCCTGCCTCTCCTGGGGCCCCCCAGCCTGGGCTGAGGTTGCAGGAGTACAGCTCCCCTGAGGTCTCAAGGGGATGCCTCTGCCCCGACAAGCGAGGCCGAAGAGATGGCACAGGGCTGGCAGCCTTGGAAGCCCAGAGCACGGGCTCAGTGCCCTCGGGCCTCTATGCCTCCCTGCGGCTATGGGGTGGCTGTAACATCCCCTTTGGGGGTCATTACAAGGGTCCACCAGCCGATATAATGAGGCGTGAGTTGGAGCTGCGTAAGAATCAATTTTATTTTTGGTGTCGTGAGCCCATTTTACAGATTAGGAAACCGAGGCAGTGAGCAGTTAAACCATGGCCTGCTCCCACTCAGAGCCGGTCCAGGAGGAAAGGTGGGCAAGAGAAGGAGCCACAGAGCTGCCAGAAGGGGCAGGAGGGACATCCAGCCCAAGCCTGAAGAGCGGCCACTATGTGGCCACGGCAGGAGAGTGTGGGCAGCTCCCTCCTGTGCTCTTGGTGGCTGGGAGGGGACGTTTCCCAGGAGGTTCTGAGCTGCTGCACACCCCCCTGGAGGCTGGGGTCAGCCGTCTGTGGAGGGGCCAGACCGCCGTAGCATAGCTAGGACATCAGTCTGCTCAGGACCCTCTCGAACACCAAGAACGTCCCATGAAGGGTCATGTCACAGATCACAGTTACAAGGCAGAACAGGAGGCCATAGTCAGCACAGCCAGGCCAGAAATAGCTCCGAGCGGGGGTGGGAGCCAGTGGCGTCCACACACCACAGAGGGTCAAGGCACCCGTCACGGCTGCACCCATACCCCTCCCGTCCCTGCCAGCCCCCCACTCGCGATGGGCTCACCACCCACCCCCGTCGTCCATCTGTCCCCCCTTGGTCATCGTTGTTTCTCATACTCACCACCCACCTTCCGTCCGTCCTCCAGGCATAGACATGCGCGGCGGCAGCACACGTGGCCAGGGCGTTTCCTGGTCCCCTTCTCTGGCTCAGGTGCCAGGGAGGAGGGTGGCAGCCGCCCCCGTGAGGCAGCCCACCCTCAATAGAGCCCTGCATCTCCAGGGGTGTGGCTACCAGCTCCCTGCCCGGCTGTGCCCCTCAAGGCCCCCTCCTTATTGATCTTTTCAGGGCGCAGCTGCGGGGCAGGGCAGGGCGGGCTGGCCAGGTGGATAAT